TAAAGCATTAAGATTGTCACTGACCTTCTAAGAGGAGGCTCAAACTTTTTTGCCGATCCTTCTCATCTGCAAGAAACAATAGGTTGAACTAATCATGCAAAATATAGAATTTTATCAACATTTGAAATAACATAGCACCAAATAGCATACTATCAGCGGTCTCCGATTCGAGACCAGCAAAATACATATGTATGCAAGGCAACATCGGTTTTCAAAGGGGAATGACTGGTTTAGCACCCCCATTCACATGTGTATTAATCAAGGCATCTGAATTACAACATTGCAGACAACATAATATGGCCACAAAATCCTGGAGGTTCGACCCGTGATGCACCACGAAATTCACCATCAGTAAGCCATTCTGGAGTTTGTGTAGCACTAATATTAGCATAAGGTGGTTTACGTACCAGTTTTAATGTAACACTTTTCTAGAATTTTGATTAACACGGCTACTAACTACCGGTGTCACTAATGCCCAAATAGATGAACATGTAAAATACATGGCATGGGCGACAGACCAAAATCAAAGGCTAGCAGATGTGCGCCACGACGCTGATTAGTGATCACATGACTTTGATAGGTAATACCGAATCACATGAAAAATATAGTGTCCAATAGACCATATGCGGAGAGAGTTTCATGTTAAGAGAATGAAGAAAATGTTGCAGGTCAAGAAAACAAGTATAAGAGCTTATATATAGAACAGTTTAAACTGAGCAGGTGCCCTGTCACATATTCTGTGGAATGAAATTATATGAAAAGAATGTTGTAAGTCAAGAAAACAAGTAGAAGAACTTATATATAGAACGGTTTAAACTGAGGAGATGCCCTATCACATATTGTGTGGAATGAAATTATATGACCAATTTACCCTGTAATGGTTGTCATCTAACTCGGTAGGAAAGAGAGCCCAACCGGCATGGTGTTTGGAGGGCCTATTTGTGCTATTTTTAAATATTGTTACCAATGTTGAGACTGAATTAAGATGAAGCTAGCTACTATACAGATTGGGCATATAAGCCTAGTAGATGTGTTTTTAGGAGTGTAATGTGTTTACGACAATGTATCAATCTAGTTATCAGGGATGTAACCAACAACACATTAACTTAAAGGCCTAAGCAATAGAGTGCAACGATACACATATTTTCGGCAAATGGCACTCCATCGGCAATGAATTGGCATACATCACAACATAGATTAATGCTGGTCGTATGAAAAATACCAACATAGATTAATACTGGCACACATCAGTAATCAAGTCCTAATTACAGTTGCAAAATAGCCAAAACCAGCTAGTTGCTCAATGTTGCAACCATTCTGCACCAGCAGTACTTACTTGCTACCATACACGTTGCATCGACTCAAGCATTGGGAACTTTTGATAGAGGCTATATTTTTAAACCATTTGTTCATGTACTAACATTTTGATCCGAGAGGCATATTTTTTAAAATTTTGGGATACACCCTGTATGATAAGAACAATAGACAAATGAATCAAAAAGGCTGGATTTACCCAAGAGTACCAACCTTTCTTTAGCATGTTTCAGAAGAATAACAGCGCCAGATTAAGTGAAGCAATCTTTCGCTTGAGTTGCTTGTCCTTGGTCGTTTCCAGAATCCTGGCACAAAATAAGCTTGAAGGAGAGCAAGCATGAGAAGAAAATAATAATGTAAACAGAACACAACGCACAGAACACACAGGTAGAGCGAGTAAAATGGTGTATATGAAATGAGCAAAACAATGGAAAGTCAGAGAAGGAAGGCAGAACCTTGGCAGGAAGAAAGGCAGCACACGAGGCGGCGGGCCGGCAGAACAGCAACAAGAACCGCAGACCCACTATTCTAACTTACAACATTGGGTCCGACGGGGGATGGGGATGAACTTGCAACACACTTCCACAAGTAAGTTTCTTACAGATGCATTTCTTTATAATAAAACTGGTTGCTTGACAGTATACACATTTACAGAAATATGAACTTCTTTTCACCTAGATGGATGGATCTTCCCATAGATTTCATACACCCTGTATGACTTCTTTGTTAAGGGGTGGGTAATCAAACCTGACACTTATTTTTGATAGTTTTTCTCCAATCTCCTGAAGATAGGAGAGCAACACACTGTAAATAAACAAACTTCATAATCTCAATAATACTTAATACTTGACAAAGTCAGGATTGTAGTAGCCTTGCCATGACATCAGCCACAATATATTTCTCAGTTATCACAAGAACACTGTATAATGCTGACATGCCAGTGGAGAGCATAGTGAACACAATAGTGCTGAAGAAACTTGTCTGTGATCTTCTCTAGATATGGTTATAACATCACCTTGTATGAATACATCATGGCATAATTGAAGGCATTAGACAATATTCTACATGAACTGGGTGGTCTATTTAATGTTCTTAATGGATCCATGTACAAAGATAAGAATTTGACAGTATGAAAAGTAGAAGAACACATGTGTAGTTATTCACAGAAACAGAGAAGTAACTATAATCCAAATAATGCTTCAGCAACAAAACATACTTGCTCTTAACTGGACAGCAGCCGTTGCTGGCAAAGTGTTGTTGGCCATCTGAAGAGTAGGTGCCAGAGAGAGAGAGGAGTGGGGCCTGATTTTGGCTGTCATCAGGGTCGGGTTCCGCCTCTCTTAACTTATTTCTTAGCTATCAGAAGAACACTGTATAAAGTTAGTATTCTTTCTCTGAAGAAATCAAGTGTAATAACAAGCAGAGATTATATATTCCTAAGCTATCAGAAGAACAATGATTTGTGGGAAATCGAAGGAGCGATACATAGAAAGGACGGGTTAGAGACCAAACTTTGTATACTTCATTTGGCTGAATCATCTACAGTTGAAAGTATATCCGTGTATGACGGTGGAAAAGTAGCAAAACACATGACGGTGGAACAGCAGCAAAACACAATATTGCAGCAGAGCTTAAAGCAGGTGCAAGGTCTGAACAAGGTTGATTATAGTCTAGTTCTGAGTGTTAACTGTAATGTTGCATCAGCTATAACAAGTTGTTCATGTTGCAATATATTGGTGTTTATGCCCAGCCCAAATGTAACTTACGTACTGAACAAAATAGGACGTACGAACCTGATTATCAGGTAAAATAGCATATTTTGAGTAGTCAGATTCCCCTTGGGCAAGCTCTTTAGCCCCATCATACATTAACTGCGCAAATTAAGCTCATTACTCGGGAAAAAACACTTACAAACCACTCCCAAAAGAACAATATAAAGCTGCCTACATGATCCTCACTAAGCAATAAGAGCAAAAACTATATTAAAACACACTCGTTGCAGTATTGGCATACTTTGATTGTCTGGTACACGATGACATGGTTGACTGTCGTATAGCCCTTGTGTTCCGCCACATCAAAGCCGGTCCAGAAAAGAAGATTTATCTGGAGATAGATGTTCAGAAAAATGTAAGGTATACTATTTGTCACTGGGATTGTAACTTTCCAGGGAAGAATAGAATGGGATCTTGCCTGCATAGATATCATGGACTTTCCTGATTCTCCAGCCCCTTAAAAAGAAAACATCACATATTAGGAACCAGGATTTCCTGATTTTGAAACAGGGTAAAGAAGACGGCTATCGGGAATTGGTCCAACTAATATTTTGAAGAGGAGGGGAGAGGGAGAAGGGGAGGGATGCGGTGCCATACCACCATCGACCGACGTCGTTTGTACAGCCACGCCGCCAGTAAGGTTGAGCGAGAGGGTGCTGCCGGCATGGACCTCGTCAAGCTCCTGGCATCCAGTCACCGCTATCGCTCCCATGCTCCCTGCCACCTCCATGTTTCTCCCAGACCTCGGTGGTAGGCAGAGGGGCCGCCGCCACCCCTCTCCCTGGGCGCCACCTCCTCCCCCATCGGGTGGATGCTCCTCGTTTCTTCCACTCCCAGGACGCCAGATCCCCTTCCACTCCCGGGACGCCAGATCCGCGGGCTCACCGTTGTTTAGCCGGAGAAAAACAAGATGGAGTAGATGCTGGCCAGGAGGTCGCTCGGCTCGGCCCGGGCGAGAGCACGGGAGGAGAAAAGGGAAGGGGGGGGGAGGCGGCGCAGTGGAGACCAGGGGAGGAGGCGGGGCTCGAGAAGTGGAGGGATTGGCTGCTTGGAGACGAATGGGATTGGGGGCTAGGTTTTCACCGCGCCCTACGATCCAGCCCCACGCCTCTCGCTTTCTCACCCAGGACGCACGCGGGACGCACCAATACACTGGGCCCGTAGACATTTGAGGCCCACCCGTCATGGACAAGGAAGCAAAACAAATGAGTCACAGAGGACTAACGGCCACGACTTTGACAGCAGCGTAAAAATCCCTGTTGCTGTGAAATCGTGCGGCCACAACACACGCGCGCCGCGAATGCCCCTGGAATGGCGGGTACTCTACCAGGCTTTATATGTTAGATTATACACCTACTTCAAGATAGACAACATGTCATCACTATGATCCGCTGCTCGAGGAACTGTGTGGCTCACTGCCTTGCTCAAATAGGGCACACATAGTATACGCTCTGTCGTGTGGGTAAGGTCTAGACCTGATGAGATTAACGTCGTGTACCAGAACGACTGTATGCCTAATGGTTAAGAAATGAAAGTTTCTTTCTCGTCAAAAAATAAGGATGCGAACCTGGAACTTTGAGGGTACCCTCCAACCCTATTTAGTTCAAGTAAATGAACTAAATTTTTATAATTCACATTATTTTTAAAATTTTAATTCATCTGATTGAACTAAGTAGGATCGGAAGGTACCCTAAAGGTTTCAAATTTACATGCCTAAAAAATAAACACCGCACACTAGAACACTTGCAGCTGTGCGGGTCACTGTGCTAGTCGGATAAAAATAGCATTACCGCGGCGCTATATATGGCTTTGTGGGATAACTGTGATTCTAATCCTCCTCGGGTGGTCTTTCCGTCCATGGTTTAGCCATGAAGTGCATGTGCCTGTCCCCAGCCACAGGAAATCGCCCGATACATGCAGCCACGCACGCCGCGCGTCCAGATCGGGAGCCGCCAACGTGCGGCAATGGCAGGCCTCGCCGCGGCTTTCGCCGTGGCGACCCTCGCGGCGATGGCCCACGCCACCACCGCCGGCTCCCCGCCGTTGCCGCCGTCGTCGCAGCCGTGGTCGTCGTCCTACTACGCGGCCGTGGAGAACCGGCTGTCGGCGGGGGCCGGCATGGTGCTCGTCTGCCGCGCGCTGGGCGGCGGCGACATCTTTACCCAGTGGAGCGTCGTGCCGCGTGGCCGCGTGCCCCGCGACGGCCGCCGCGTCTTGGAGCTCCTGGTGGACGCCAAGACGTACGGGTGGGTCACCTGCAGCTGGGCCTACCAGGGAAACTACGTCGGCGCCATGCCGCTCTTCGACTCGCGGTGGCCGGAGGCCAAGCGGTGCCAGGACGTCGCCGGCGGCGGCCTGTGCCGCGTCGTGTTCGAGAGCGACATGGTGCGCCTCGAGACGCCCGGCGGGGGACAGCGGGTTCTCGGCGACCTGCCGGTGAAACGTTGCCGGCGGCACTGGCTCCTGTTCAGCACGGAGTGCACGTACCCGGACCATCCCTACCCCTACGCCGGCCGCCGCCTCAGCAACGCCTTCGAATACTTTGGCGTGTGACCGGTTAGGGAATTCATTTTTTTTTTGTTTTGAGAATCCGTTAGGGAATTCATTAGGGCATCTCGATTGAATGTACGTAATGGAACATAGTAC